GGGTCATGAGGCACTGGGTTTGGGGTCAAGGAGTCCCGTTGAGGCTATGGTGGAATGAAGTTGCAGCTGTTGGAATGAAAGTTGGTCTGCTCAAGATGCTCAGTTTCTGGCCCAAAAGGCAGGCTGCGGGCCAGGAGGAGGCTGCCCAGCTGAGTGGCTGCGAAGAGAGACAGGGGCTGCAATGAAGAAAGTCTCAGCTGTGCCAAAGCAAGTTCTGAACATCTCCTGCTGGTCATGGGGGCCCAGGCTGAGAGACCCATATCCCAGCGGCTGCTGTCAGGATGGGTGCCTCCCAGGGAGCCTTCAACACCCTCCCTCCCACTGTGAGGTGGAATGAGGGGGTGGGGGTTCGAGTTCACCCCAGGGAGAGAGGGAGGAGGTCGCTCAGAGCCCGGGTCCTGCCCCTTACTGGAGGGTCAGTCTGACAGGACTCTTAGCCCTTGGGCTGATGCTCTCTCTTCTGACCTGGGGGCTGGCTTCACGGCTCTAAGCCTCAGTTTCTTCATCTGAGAAGTGGGCCCGCACAACCCCTACACCTCACTGGGCTGTTGTGAATGTTAAAGTACATCAAGCACCTAAAATGCACGCCTGGCGCATGAAAGCAACTAACGAGTTTTCAATTTTTAACATCACGGTTTATACTCTCATAAGACCCCATAACTACAGTGTAGGGCATTCTTTATTCCCGATTTTATGAGGTCCTGAGCACAGCAGGCGTTTATCCGTTGAATGAATGAATGAACGAATGCAGAAAACAGTTTTATTTAGATTCCCACGTTTATTTCCGCACGGAGACCAGGCCACTGCCGGCTGCTGCTCTTTCAGGCTTGGCGTCCGCCCACAAACTGGCGACTCCTGAGAACCTGCGGGGGGCGCGGGGAGTCGCACAGCTCGCGGCTCGTCCTCACTGTCACCCCCACAGTCTAGGAAAGTGAGGCTTGGGCAAGACCTGACACGCCCGAGGTCAGCCTAGCGGCGACGGTGGGGCTCCGCGCGCAGGCTCCGGCCCTCGCCCGCCAGGGCAGCCTCTGCTACCGCTCGCCTTCCAGGCCGGGGGAGCGGGCCGCCACCCCTTCCCCGACCGGGGACATTCTCTCCGCCTGAGTCTGGATTAGGTGGCGGGGGATGCCCCGGGGGCCAGATCGCCCCTCCTCCCGCCTCCCTTCCTAGCCTTCCCAGGCACCCGGGCCGGGCGTGGGGAGAGAGGAGTGCCGAGTGCCGGCCGGGCGTGACTGCGTCCGGATCCCACGCCACCCAGCTCGGGCGCCCGCGGGGGTCCCCGGCCCGCCTCCCGCCCACGTGGCCGGCCCGGCCTCCCCGGCCCCGCCCCGCCCCGGGGAGCCGCCCCCGCAGCCGCCGCCACCACGGCCGCCGCCGCGGTGCGCTCTCCAGTCCCGCCGGGCCGAGCCTGCGCTGGGCGCCGAGGTGAGTCTGGGCGGCTGGCCGGGAACCCTGCCCCTCCGCTAGAGTCTCCCCGGCTGGACACCCCTGCTAGACGCCCTGGAGCGGGACGCTTCCCCGGGCTGGCTCCTCCCCTGCCTTCACCCACCATCTCCAAGCTGGACCCCCCACCCCCACCTCTGAGTCGCCCCTGCCCTGTCCCGGTGCCCGCAGCGGGCTCTGCGCGCCTTCTGGCCGGGGGCACTCGGAGAGCTCGGGGGAGCACTGGCGCCTGGGCGCGGCGCAGGTGGGCAGTGCCACCACCAGCCGTGACTGGCTGCCGCTCGCGCTGGAGACCCTGACTTCCATTCCCTGGTAGCTCTTGGGCGAAAGTTCCCGGAGCCACTTCCGGAGAGGGAGGCGCCACCTGTCCTGGGGCAAAGCCTCTTTCCCTCGGGGGTTTTCCTCAGCCCTGTTGGGGCGCCCGCAGGTCAGCGTCGCGTGGGGCGCTGCTGGTCGTGGCTCGCAGCGCCGCCGGTCACTTCGCGGCGTGGAGGCTGTGAGCGCGCAGGACGGCGGCAGCGGTCCCGGGCCCCCCCGGGCCCTTGTGCTGGCGGCTGCATCTTTTAAATTGCGCGGCCAGAGGGTCCCGCGGTGGAGACGAGGGAGGCGGACACCAAGGGGTTAAGGTGAACCTCGGTGCCCCGTAGCCAGGGAGGGGTGAGCATATTCTGAGGGTCGAAGTAGACCGAGCCGGGTGGAAATGGGTTCCGTTGGGTTTTGCCAACGAGGAAGAGGCTCGCTTGCTTTATCAGCGGCCTCATCGTGGGCTTGAACGTTGCTGAAACAGAGCGACTTATTCCTAGAGGACTCTTGCTCCGTGTAATGCCTGAACCAGGCTTTCTTCCAGCAGTGGGCACGGATGTGAGAACTGCCAAACAGTAGTTGTCCTGGATGCACCAGCAGAAACTTATTTTTAAGCATTTAATGCACTACCCAGGTATAACCACTTTTTTCCCTGGAGTGTGAAAGAAGAGAGGTTTCCTGTGTCTCTGTCTTAGCTGTGTAGTCTTGGGCAAGTTACTTCACCTATCTATGCCTCAGTTTCCTCATCTGTAAAATGAGGATGATAATAGTAGAAACCTTAAAGGGTGGTGTAAGATTAAAGTTCTTACAATAGTGCTGGTACAAGGTAAGTTCTGCGTCTGTTCTCATTATTGTTATGGCTGACATCTCTCTAACAGGACATCCTCATCCCTAGCTCCCCAGTGAGGTGGCTGGGCAGGCTCTTGGGACTTCCCCTTCTCCTGCTTAGGACCTGCATTATCTACACAGTAGCCATGGTGTCCCCTTCAGCCTTGAAACACTTGGGCTTTGCAGTAACACTTCCTATGGGTTAACGAGTCTTATGCAAAATGTATCTCAGAACATGAGATTAGAGATGACCTGTGTCAAGGACACTCCCAGGAGATGGGGTCTCGGATTTTCTCTGGAAGCTCTGGGGTGTGAATGGATGTTTGCATTGCTGGGATGGAGTGGATAAGGTTTCACTTGAATTCCTTCATGGCCCTCTGACAGGCTGACATCCTCTAGTCTCTGTGAGCGTAGGAGTCTATTTAGGGGCCCAAGGGCCTGATCTTGTCCCCTCCCCTCCATTCATTCACGTCCAACAGATTGTCCCCTCCATCAGTGGAGTCTGGACTGCACCAGGTTAGTTTCTTTCTTTTGGCAGTGGTAACCACAGACAGGAGTTCTGTACCTGGGGCTCCAGGAATTTCCTGAAATGTGCATGAGATGCTTGGAGCACAGGTGTATATTTTTCCAGAGGGTTCCCTTTTCATCATTTTCTGCAAAAGGCCTGCACCCTGCAAAAGTGGACCCTCAACTGCTGGTGGGAAGTTGTGAGTTCTCACCCCCTGTACAGGGCAGGCCCATATTTTTAGGGGCTAGAGATGTCAAAATTACCTCTGTCTCCTGGAGGTTGGAGGTACCCACACGTTCCTCTGTGCCCTTGCTCAGAGCACACCTTCCAGTGGAAAATTCAGGTCTGCCTTGACTTGAGAAAAGCTAATAAAGAAGTTAATTGAGGAAAGGAGGAGTCAGGCTGTGGGGGTAGGGACTGCCGGCCTGTGGCGAGGCCTTTAGGATGGGATGCAATTCATGAAAATTTGAGCTCAAGTTGCACATGCTCTTCCCTCTGCTGAGTGCACTATTCCACCACTTCTTCTTGTGTCTGGCACTTTCTTGCCCTTTAGCTCAGATGTCTCCTCTGTAGAGAAAGTTTTTCCTGACCCCTCTGTCCAAAGCAGCCCCTTCCCCTGTCAGTTTGTGTCAAATTCTCCCATTGTATTTAATTCACGGAGCTTACCTGAAGTGGTCTTACTCGTATATCTATTTATGGATTTATTGTCTGTATCCATCCAGGAGAATGTAGAATCCAAGAGGGCAGACATGTTGCCCTGATCCCTGCTGAACTCGAGCCCCTGGCACACAGTAGATGCTCAAGAAATGTCCCTGAGTGGCAGAATGAATGAACATACACTGAGTGAAGTGAGGTGAGGCTGGAGAGCTTTTAAGAGTAGTGAAATGCAAAGGAACTGGCTGTTAGTCAGGAGCTCTGGGTTAAAGGTGACTTTTAAGGTCACATTGTTCAACCTGCAGTTTAAACCACCTCTGCAACATCTCTTCCTAGTTACTGCTTAACCCAAGCTTGAATCCCCCAGTGACAGGGAACTCCTTGCCTCTCAAGACAGTCCATTCCATGGGAGGAAAGATGTGGGGTGCAGAGAACCACATATAGTCCCTGTATCCCCCTGATAAGGATGAGGTGTGGCCTCCAGCCTTCCGCACACTACCACTCCAGTCCTCCTGGTCTACTTTGCATCCTGATTACCCTTCATCCATCACATCCCAGTGAGCTGCCTCTACTTCTCTGCCGTCACCAATGTTCCCGAGCCCCTGACCAGAACTCAGTGTGCTACTGAGTCATATGTCATCAGAGGGGGCCTGAGACAAAGAGGCATCAAGAGAAAACTGCTATAGTTTAGAGACCTTCAAGGCCAGCTTCTGTATTGTTCAGGACCCTGTGACTGCATTGGGCTCAGGGGTGGATGGAGTGGGGAAGCGGGGGTGGGCAGGTAGGGGGAGGCTCTGTTTCTTTCACTCTGTTGTTCTTTCCCTGAGTTTTTCTGAATGATTCTTAATCAATTTATTAATTGTGGGCCCTAGATATATTTTTTAAAAAATTAATCCTCAGACCCATTATCTTAACGGTTTGTACAGATATTGTCGGATTCATATCACCGTGCATGTACAGGTTGAAACTTGAGTGAAAATGAAATATTTTTATATATGATTCTAATTTATTGAGTCAGTTCAAACTTCTGTGTGGGAGATCACCAGTGTAGTAAGTGGAGTGGGGTCTACTGTGGAGAGGTTTGGAGATAAGCTTTGCTTTCTTCCTGTGCCTTAGCCACTTAGCTCAACTCATTTACTTCATTTATTCAAGAATCATTTAGGGAGGGAGGGCTCTGGCACTGGCTACATAGCAGTCAAGAAAACCAACAGCGTTCCTCCCTTGTGGAGTTTACATCCCAGTGGCAGAGATGGACAATAGACAACTAGATCTGTAAGATGATGTCGGGGAGCGTGATCAGCGTAATGAAGGAGATGAAGCTGGGACTGGGATGGAGGCAGAGTTGGTTTAGGTGAGAGAAGGTCTCTCCGAGGAAGTGGCATTTGAGCAGAAACCTGGATGAATGAGAGAGTAGTGAGATGGGTATCTGGGGGAGGACCATTCCATGCACATGGAACCCAAGGTTGTGGTCAAGCCCCTGGTGTGGCCAGTCATCTCTTGAGCCCTGGACATGGTCTATCACACTGGGGAAGGGAGAGAGGAAATGAGGCAGTGTGGGCAGAACCTCTCCCACCTCCTCCCCAAGTCCTAGCAGGTGGCTGGAGTAAGATCTCTGCATTTTGTGCTCTCTTGGTTGACCAGAAAGCTCATGCCTTCCTTTGCAGAGGATGAGACCTGGTGTGATGATGTTCCTGAAACTGCTGCCTGGGCAATGAGCATGAGCCTAGGGGGCGCTGCTGGAATCGTAACTCTACACATAGGAAGACTTGCCTCACCCCACCTGCCCTGGCCGTGGACTCCTCGTCTTTTGTGACATTTGGTTACATCTACCTCATCACTCAGAGGGAACCATCTGGAGGGCAAGTAGTTACTTAGCAGGGCTTTGATAGAAAAAAATGAAAATATGAAAATGTATCGTATCATGGACCAGGAGATGAATGCTTCCAGTTCTCGCCATTGATTGGTTGATTGATGAACTGATGTTATTTAACATGGCATAAAGGAAGTGTGACAGGGAGGCTTCTTGGAAAAGGTGACATCTAAGAAGGTACAGAGAGGGAGGGCTACAAGTCACCCCTGTTGGAGGGTAGGCTGGGATGGCAGGAAGAGAGAACAGCGTGTGCAAAAGTCCAGATAAAGAGTTACCAGCTCTCAGATGATGCCAGATTCTCATTGGTTTTAGCAGTGTGTGTGTGCATGTGCATGCGTGCGCATGTGTTGAAGTATACTGTGGAAAAGGAATTGACATAGCGGCCCTTAATAAATGCCAGTTCATCTGAATGGCTGTACCTTGTGCTACTGGGCTCTGCACCGACATCCTCATGTAATTTCTACGACTATCCTGTAGCACAGGCTCTCTTAGTATCTCCATCTTCCAGACCAGGAAATTGAGGTATGGAGTGATGAATAACTTGCCACCTGTGTGTCTTCCTGGGGTTCTGCTTAGTTGTGTCAGGAGACATGGAGGTGAGGAGGATCTTCCTGGAAAATTTATTCAATGATATCAAGAGAGATGAATGTTTTTAAATATCTTCAAAAGGCCTCGCTTTGGTGCACATCCCCATGGAATGTCAGCTCTGGGAGGGCAGAGGCTGCTCCCAGCCAAACACTCAGTCCCTGGCACAGTGAGAGTTTGTTGGGATGTTAGGTGGATGCCCCAGGGTCTCTGGTGGCCACAGAACAATAAGGCTGGAGGAGGTCATCATCTTGATTGCCCAGGTATCTCCTGACTTTTCCAAGATGGACACACAAGTCAGGGCAGAACTGGACATGAGGCCCAAGTCAAAACCAGAATGCTCTAGAAAGAAAAGCTGGGGCCCTTGGCCAGAGTTGGAGAAGGACAGAGGAGGCAGTTTGGTGTCTTGCTTGGCTCAGCTAGCTAAAGACCAAGCTAGATATTTAATAGTCCAACTTGGTTCCTTATCCCAACACCCCACCTCCACTTCCAGCCAGCATATAGTAACCTTATGGATCTAGATTTGCTTTTCTGCTCATAGAACTGCAATCTCTGAATTCATCTCCAATTCTGAGCTCAATAATATTTTCCTGGAAGCTGGAGCAGTGCACTGGCTGGCTGTGAGGCAAATTGAAATGTCTGGAGGTTGTAGAGGTGGCGGTCGGGAACTGTGTCCCAGTCTCAGCTCCAGCATTGCTAGTGGAGTATCCTTGGATGAGGTGCTTAACCTCTCCAAGCCTCAGTTTCCTCATCTGTAAAGGAGACAGTGCTCGGCTGTACCTCCTAGGTTTGCTGTGAGGTTTAAATGAGAAAATGTTTGTAAAGTGCTTATCCCTGTCACAGCCTGCATGCAGGAAGGGCTGAATGTGACTGTCCTCTGGTGACTTAGGACCGCCTCAGGTCATCCCGTCACCCCATTGTGCTCCTTTTGGAAAGGTGTGCTCAAACACCCTGGAAGTTCTTCATTCGGATTTGGAGACTTCACCAGGGGTGGGTGCTAGCCTTTTTGGAGATGATCTCATTAGGAGCCAAATATGGATAATGGAGTTAATGGTCAGTTTATTGTGACACAGAGGCCAGGTGTGAAACGCTGCTGAGACTTCCTGCCCAGCCACAGCCTACCATCCTCTCCCACGATCATCTGACACCCGTCCCCCCCAGCCCCTGGCCTACAGTGGTCACCCCATTTACCCATGGCCCTCAGTCCCTGAGGGGCATACAACGCCCTTGGACGCTGGCTGCTTCAACTCACTGTTCTGGTTCATCTTCACCACACCCCACCCCAAGTCACCCATTGGACCCTCCAATGGAGCAGAACCTGACAGCCCCCCAAATACCCCAGAGGCTTTTCCACTTTCACATCTTTGCTCCTGCTGTTCCCACTACTTGGAATGCTCTTTTGCTCTTGTCCACTTTCAGAACTTCTCACACTGCCCAACTCCAATGGCCTCTTCCCTCTTTCCTTTCCTTTTGGCTGGAAAAAGAAATGCTCTTCTGCACCAGAAACCCTGATTATATTCTTAATATACACAAAAGCAAACAAATCAGAAGTTGTCGAGTAAAAAATGAAATTCCACCTTCTCCATCCCACACTTGCTTCCAGAGAGAACATTTATGATCAGCTGGCTGTTTATTTCTCTTAAGTTTTTACGTATAGGTGTGTGTACCTGTGAATATCTCTAAAAACCAGCATAATGGGCTCCTTTTATATGTGTTGTTCTCCAACTAATTTTTTTCCATTTGTCCATATATCCAAGAGCACTTTCTCTGTCCATATGCATCTCTCCCCTTTTCACTTGCCCTGGTTCCCCACCTGCCACCCCCAGGGAAGAGTGTACAAGTTTGTGTGGACATGTGTTTTCAGTTCTCTTGGGTATATACCTTGCAATGGAATTGCAGGTCATATGGTAACTCTATGTTTAACATTTTGAGGAACTGCCGAACATTTTCCAAAGTGGCTGCACCATTTTGCAATCTCACCAGCAGTGTGTGAGGGTTTCAATTACTCCACATCCTTGCCAGCACTTGTCATTGTCCATCTTTTTGATTATTGCTATCCTAGTGCATGTAAAGTGGTATCTCACTGTGGTTTTGATTTTCATTTCCCTAATGGCTAGTGGTGTTGAATATCTTGTTTCACTTTATTTTTTTAGAGCAGTTTAAGTTTATAATAAAATTGAGAGGAAGGTGCAGAGATTTCCCTCTACTCTCTGCTCCCACAGGTGCATAGCCTCCACCATTATCATGATCTTCTTATGGTCTCCATAGTTTTGCCTTTTTCAGAATGTCATATAATTGGAATCATACAGTATATGACCTTCTCAGATTGGCTTCTTTCACTTAGTAATACTCATTTAAGGTTTCTTCATGTCTTTTCATGGCCCGATATCTCATTTCTTTTTAACACTGAATACTATTTCATTATCTGGATGTACCACAGTTTATTCACCATGGTTCCTTCCAAGTTTTGGCAATTATGAATAAAGCTTCTATAAACATCTGCCTGCAGGTTTTTGTATGGACAAAATTTTCAACTCTTTTAGGTAAATACCAAAGAATGTGATTGCTGGATCATATGGTCAGAATAAGCCAGCACTGGTGGTCTAGTGGTTAAGATTTGGTGTTTTCATCACCTCGGCCTGGGTTCGTTTCCTGGTCAGGAAACCACACCATCCGTCTGTCGGTTGTCATACTGTGGTGGCTGTGTGAAGGTGAGAGGATGGCATAGAAAGACCAGGCAGGGTTCCGCTCTGCTGTACACAGGGTCACTGAGAGTCAGAATCGACTCAACAGCACTAACAACAAATGGTAAGAGTATGTATAGATTTGTAAGAAACTGCCAAACTGTCTTCCAAAGTGGTTGTACCATTTTGCTTTCCTATCAGCAATGTATGAGAGTTTCTGTTGCTCCATATTCTTGATGGCATTTAATGTTGTCAGTGTTCCAGATTTTGACTATTCTAATAGATGTGTATTGATATCTCATTGTTGTTTTAATTTGCATTTCCCTGATGACATGTGATGTGGAGCATCTTTTCATATGGTTACTTGCCATCTGTGTATCTTCTTTGGTGAGGTGTCTGTTAAGGTCTTTGGCCCATTTTTAGTTCGGGTTGTTTGTTTTCTTATTGTTGAGTTTTAAGAGTTCTTTGTATATTTTGGATAACAGTCCTTTCTTAAATGTGTCTTTTACAAATATTTTCTCCCAGTCTGTGACTTGTCTTCTAATTCTCTTGGTATTGTCTGTTGCAGAGCAGAAGTTTTTAATTGGAACGAAGTCCAGCTTGTCAATTATTTCTTTCATGGATGGTGTCTTTGGTGTTGTATCCTAAAAGGCATCACCATACCCAAGGTCATCTAGGTTTTCTCCTATGTTATCTTCTAGAAGTTTTATACTTTTGCATTTTACATTTAGGTCTGTGATACATTTTGAGTTAATTTTTGTGAAGGGTGTGAGGTCTGTGTCTAGATTCATTTTTTTGCTTGTAGGTGTCTGGTTATTCCAGCACCATTTGTTGAAACGATTGTCTTTGCTCCATTGTGTTGCCTGTGCTCCTTTGTCAAAGATCAGTTGACTGTATTTATGTGGTTCTATTTCTGGACTCTATTCTGTTCCATTGATCTATTTGTCTGTTCTTTTGCCAATACCACACTGGCTTGATTACTGTAGCTTTATAGTAAATCTTGATGTCAGATAGCGTCAATCCTCCAACATTTTTCTCCTTCAATATTGTGTTGGTTGAATATATTTTCATGTGCTTATTGGCCATTTTTATATCTGTTTTGGAGAAATGTCTATTCAGACCTTTTGCCTATTTTAAAAATTGGGTTATTTGTCTTTTTATTATTGAGATGTACAGGTTCTTTATATATTCTAGATTCAGTCCCTTGTCAGATACATGATTTTCAAATATTTTCTCCCATTCTGTGGTTTGTCTTTTCACTTTCTGGATGGTGTCCTTTGAAGCACAAGGTTTTGATTTTGATGAAGTCCAATTTATCCATTTTTCTTGTGTTGCTTGTGCTTTTGGTGTCATACCTAAGAAACTTTTGCCTAACCCAAGGTCATGAAGATTTATGCCTAAGTTTTCTTCTAAGAGTTTTATAGTTTTAGCTCTTAGATTTAGGTCTTTGATCCATTTTTAGTTAATTTTTGTGTGTGGTGTGCGATAGAGGTCCAACTTCATTCTTTTGCATGTGGATATCCTGTTGTCCCAGCACCATTGGTTGAAAAGACGACTCTTATTGAATTGTCTTGGCATCCTTGTCAAAAATCAATTGGCTGTAACTGTAGGTGTTTATTTCTGCACTCTCAATTCTATTCCATTGATCTATATGTCTATCCTTATGCCAGTACCCTGTCTGTACTGTCTTGATTACTATAGCTTTGTAACAAGTTTTGAAATCAAGAAGTATTTTCCTCCAACTTTGTCATTTTTCATGATTGTTTTGGCTATTCTGGGTCCCCATATGAATTTTAGGATCAGCTTGTCAATTTCTGCAAAAAAGGCAGCTAAGGTTTTGATAGGAGTTATGTTAAGTCTTCAGGTCAGTGGAGCGTTTTGCCATCTTAACAATATTAAGTCCAGATCCTGAAGTGCTTTCTACTGGGTGCATCCCTCACTCAGCTCCCCTAGTCACTGAGTCTTCTGAGGAGACACTCAGAGGCCCATCCTTCAAGCTGCACAGACAAACATCCAGGGAAATCAGCATCTCTTTTCCTTGTGGAAGGAAGTGACACGGTATAGTATAGTGTCTAAGGCTAGAGACTTGGATAAAACATTTAACTCCTGAATTTGTGAAATGAGAGTGCATCTGGAACTGACTGAGCATATGGCATTTTAACTTGTTTTATCTATTGGGCAAAGAGGTCGGATTTCATTTAAGGAAAGGGTTGTGCTGCTAAAGCAATTTTTGTCCATCTCCCCCTGCCCCCCCCCCCCGCCCATTCACTGGCATAATAGTTTGGAGAATGGAATAAAAATAAGAAAGGAATACTACCACATATTAAAAGATTAGTTTACAACCCTACATGCACTTACGTGTTCCAGATGTAATGCTTTGGCACAAGTTCAAGATTGTATTCTCATGGAAGAAGAAATAAAAAGTGAAGCGCCTACATGTATTTCGATAGGAACCTGGTTTTCCAAACTTAAGGAACAATCTGGGGAACCACATTGGAAACTGCAAATCCGCTCACAGCTCAGCTTACTCTCAGCTGGGGCCAGGAGCTCCATTTTAAACAAAACAGCGCTAGTGTGTGTGTGAGATGGAATTGTTTATCACCGTTGTTTCAAAAAAGCAATTAAAAAAGCA